TTTATAAATCCAAATTTTATGGTGTATAACCCCTAAACGCGGTCCAGAACGCATGCCAGTTCGCTGGAAGTTATAGCTTTCCAACTCGATTTTGGGATAATAACCCCGTCGTGTTCTAAGAAGAGGAGTCGGCCACTAGAGCAGTCATCGTATTCTTCTGAAATCTGAAGTCAGTAAAGTAACAAACGAGTATCCTTGGCCAGGAGCGGAGTCACACCATCGGGTGGTGGGCGCGATATTCATGAGATCGTTGTGCCGGTTTACGAGGTTGTAGTCGACAAATCCCGCACCATCGTGCCGCTAGCCCGCACCACAGCCAACGGAATAAAACTTGTGGTCACCCTCCAGGGTGTGAGTCACTCCCAAACCACTGGCTTACGCATTCGTGATTGGGCCATCTTGCGATCTCGTCTGTCAGAGATCGCTACGGCATGGAAGTTGCGTATTTGCCGCTGTTACTTTACAGTCTTCCGTGGTGGACTCCCACATGAGACCGAAATCATGCGAGCGCGATGGTTTTCATAATTGACCTTTTTGTGCAACAAGATCCTGAAATTCGCATCTTCGTCCATACAATATATTATTTTTAACAGTGTTCCTGCCGAAAAGCATAGGCTTTTACTGCACAGAAGAAGTCTTCTTCTGCAGCAATCCTTAAGATATGTTATTTGTCATCTTTCATTAAATTAGGAAAAATAACATAAGTATACACTTCACTCTTTGAGAAGAAAGGGTCCTACATGCTAACTAGAGGGCGCAGTGGATTCGAGCTATGCTCATGCTTTGTCAATTAGGGTTGTAGCCACTTCGAACGCCGCACGGAAGTGCCGAAAACGACGCGAGAAATCCGCTTCCTTACGCGTGCAAACTGATGACACAAAAATGCAGTTTTTCAAAAGAGCTATTATTTTAGTATCGTTGATGCAAACAGGATAACTATGGTAGATGGGTAGGGAGAATAAAAGCTACATAGGTCTACTCGGCAGTCGCGACAGCACGCTCCTTCTGCATGAGCCTTAGTTCGCGTTCGTACTCCTTCATTCGCAGAATCTGATCCTTCGTTTGGCACTCGAGGTAGGCGTGACGAAAGTGGAGGCAGAAGAGAGGGTAGAAAATAGTTCGCTCAGCCTTGCATTTTCTCCAGGCCATTAGGACCGGAGCACAGTAGTCCCGCTCTCTTGAACCTAAGCCAGCAGCGATCATTTCCTCTTCTGTTAGCTACAAAATATAAGTAATTCAAAAACTGAAGTTCTCCACTTGGAAGGTTAGGTGGTATTCGCAAAAGTACTCGCATGGCCGAAGCCTTATTTAGTTGTTGGAGTTCCACATGGCCACTTGCCATTAGCTATTAATGAATTCGCAATGCTGCAGTGCGCGTCCTTCCATGTTCACGTGCTCCCATGAGCCTGTGTCAAGCGCGGAGCAGGCTGGCCAACCAAGGGAGGGTCGTCATGGGTGGCCTAGTGCAGTTTTCGGTATATAGTGCATTCGCAGTCGCATTAGTATGCATTATAGTCGCGGTCAATCCTACAGTCGTGTCAGGCTCCAACGGCCAAAAGCACATATTAAACCAGAAAGGTTCACGGACGCAAAACCGCCCATGCAAAAGCGACCCCTTAACGTGATCGTTGCACCATGGACCCCCCAATCACTGATGCCGAGCATCCGCATACTTAGCATGAACATTAAAGTCCGAAATCAAGCCATCTCAGTGACCTTTCGCATCGGCCACGCTACTTGTAACTCACACTTTCACTACGGCCACTATTTGCACTTATGGACGGAAGTGCTA